TATTTTTTATCTAGAACTTTTGAAATTAAAAAGTGTAAAGCAAATGCACATATGATTCTCCAATATAACTGAACAAAAATTGGAGCCTATCAGATGAGCTTAGCATCACTCATGAACAAATGCTCAGACCTTTCTGCAATGGAAAGTTCCAGTTACAGAAAATTTGCTGGAAGTCAAAATAAAAGATCAGATACTCCTGAATGTCATTTTCACAAAGTTAGAGCAAATCTAAATATATCCAAATGGAATCCATGACTAAAAAGTCAAATACAATCTTCCCTCAGTGTCAGCAGGGAATTGGTTCCAGGAACACCACAGATAACAACACCCATGGATACTCAAGTCTCTTCTATTAAAAAGCACAGTATTTGCATTAGAACCTCTGCACATCTTCCTGTATACTTTAAGTCATCTCTAGACCATTTAAAATACCTAAGTGTAAATGCTATGTGAAATGTAAATATGCTGTTATATAGTATTGTGTAGGGAATAATAACAATAAAAGTCTGAACTTTTTTGTTATTCAGTAGACACATATTTTATTCCAAATATTGTTGATTCACGGTCAGTTGAATCAATAGATGCAGAACCGGAGGATACATAGGGTTGGCTGAGCATCTCCAATGTAAGTTTCACAGAGGCTTTAGAAGAAATTTAGCATGAATGCAGTTCATGGTTAAGAAACTTCTCAAATGTAAACTTAATAGCAAATCTGGACAAAACCACCAGTATGCTGTAATAAAACCTCAGCTCCTTCCCAGATATGACTATCAATAAAAAGCTAAACCCCAATTATGATAGTTAATCTTTACTGAATGCCATATCCCAAGACATTCAACATCTACCTCCTTTAATTCTTCCTTCAATATTTAGAGATAGGAACTAATTTTACCCAACTCTTTTATATATTGGGAAAGTGAGACTTGGAATAGTTAGGTAAATTTCAGTAACAGAGTCACAGTTTAACCCTGTCAATTTGATTGTAGTGTCTTCTTTTTTTTGCCATGATGTGATGTGTCAATGTCCCACTCTGTTTATTATTACAACCTAATATTTTGACTTTAAGTTATTGTCACCAAGTTACTATTTTGTATTAAGTGGTTTATTTTGCATTCATTATTTTTGGAAGTATGATTATTACTAAAGAGTTATATAAAGCTGATTTTTGGAAATTTATTTTAATTTTTGATGGGCTTTGTGTTGGCCTGATTTCATTATTTTGACTCCTGACTCATCTTGAATGAGTTTCAAAAAGAATCTGTGGGTTGTGTGCTCTCTGAACCACATTTATTTGAAATATCTTTTGGTTACTGTTGTGTATGAATCACATATTGACTATGTATTGCATTCTGAGTCAAAATACTTTCTCCTCAAAGCACAGTATCTATAAATCTATCTTTTTTTCTGCAATTGGCTATTGTAGAGGAATAGTCTAAGTATTCTGTGGTTTTTATTGTTAATATTGTTGCTCCTTTTAGAGAAACTTATTTGGATTTCTGGATGCAAGTGGAAATTTTTCTCCTTTTCTTGCTGGAGATCCAACTCAGGACTTTGCACATTGTAGGCAAGCATTCTACTACCAAGATACACACCCAGACTACAAGTAGGATTTTAAATTTAATCCTATATGCACAATTTGCTTTTTCTCACTTTAGTTGCACCTAAGAGATAATTATATTTTTCAGTAAAAAGAATGGTGATTTTATTTATGTATTATAATTGTGTCCTTTTGTTCTTTATCGTTTTTCTTTCTTTCTTTCTTTTTCCTGGAGAATTCTTTTCATTCTTACTTTAGAACTACTATTTTTGCCTTCATCTCAGGCATCAGCTTATTGCTTTTGCATTCTTATTAAAAATTCTAAGCCTTCTCAACTTTTGAATTTTTTAAATAATAATTTTATTAAGTGAAAATCCTGATTTGCTTCTTTATCTATTGCAAGATGTTATGGATCCTATTTTCCAATAAAGTGTTTCATTCATTTCCTTCAAAAAATCAAGGCTACTCTATTTTATAATGGAAATTATTAGCAGACTACAGATAATTTTTCTCAGTCTAATATCACTCTCCTTGTCTCTCGAGTTACTTTCTTTTAGATTATGGACACAAGCTGTCATTTTTGGATGGTGTTGTTAGGAGTCTCCCCACCCACCTCCCGGAGTCTTGTCAAATATATGAAGCTAAAAAAATGACAATCCATCTGATATTATAAATCATAACCATGGCTACACTTGTTCTTTTTTTTGCGTGAAATTCTTACAACATAAAAGTAAATAAAGTGAATAGTTTACAGACATTTGACACATTCACAGTATTGGGCAATTACCATCACTGTGTGACCTCCAACACTTTCTCGTCCCAAAACAAAATCCCATACTGATTAAACAATCACCCCAAACACCCCTCTTCTCAGGTCCTGGAAACCATCAATCTTCTTTCTGTCACTGTCGAACTACCTATTATGGGTATGTTATTTAGTATAAATGGAATAAAAAAATATGTGATCCTTTTGTCTATATTCTTTCAATTAGATTTTTAAGGTTTATTTGTGGTGTAGCATATATCAGTACTTCATTCCTTTTTATGGTTGAATAATATTTACATATGTATTATACATACCACAGTAAGGAGGACTTTACACTCAAGGAGTTAAATCTTCCTCCAAAGCAGAATAAATTTCTTTCACAGACAGAATGTTCCAGAGTCATTCTGTTTCCTAATTGTTCTCTCATTTTTTTCCTGTTATTAAACATCAGGTGTCTGCTCTATTTCAGAGCTACTGAGCTGAGACCCAATGGCTAGAACAATGTTCAGTAAGTTGACTGATTCATATGTGAAATTCTTGCTTCTTTGTTCAGTAACAGAAGCTCTTCTAAGTCCAAAGAGAGAACTTGCAATATTTGCCATCATATATTCAGAGCTGAAGCAGAAGTGTGAGAAGGCTTGGTCTAACTTGTGAAGCTGCTGTTGGAATGGACAGAGTCCACCTGGGAGTGGGGGAGATAACCAACATGAAGATTCTAGGCACAAGGCTGAGAATAGATGCAGAAAAAAGGAAAAAAAATCCAATAAACTACTTTAGTATGACCTTTAGATTTTTTTTGTCTTTGTGTTAAAATTAATTGGCCATTTAACAGCTCTTCTTTCCATGATCATGTATTCCCCAAATAACAAGGTTATGAAGGGAAGACACTGCGCTTTTGTAATTTCACATTGCCAGACTCATACTGGACCCTCAGCAAATGTTGAAGGAAGAAAGATTCTTTATTTTACTGTCCAAAGAAAGACATGCCACCTCTTCTCTTTTATAGTTAATATTTACTAAGAATTTGCTATCCCAGTTCCCCAAACAATATACCACCTCACATAGTTTTTTGGGAAAATACCTGCAACACTAAATATCATGTTTAATCTATGTGTGTGTGTGTGTGTGTGTGTGTGTGTGTGTGTGTGTGTGTTTTAGGGAAGGAGGTCAGGGAGGAGATTCATGACAGCAAAGCCCCATTAGATTTTCTTAATAAAATAGATGTCTGGTAGCATTTTTCATAGTTAAGGTTTCCAATAGTGAAGTGGAGGGAAATCACCCATCTCACCATACTCTTTGCTTGTCCTTAGAGAGAATAATTGTTCTCTTATTTTTTCTCTATAAGCAATCGCAGTGGGAGTTTCAGATGACTGAGGTGATGTAAAAATATTTACAAATGTTTTCCTTATGCCTCTGAGGAGATCTTGTGGGCTTTTTTCATATTCCTTCAAATGAGTTTGGCTGGAAAGGGAAGGATTTTCACACCTAGGATTGGATCTCTATGTTAATCTGTCTGCAGGAGGTTGGAATGAGGAGTGCCAATGTCATATATAAAGTAGTTCTCAAGAACCAAGACAGCTGCCCAATGGTCTTGATGTTCCTGAACATCCTCTGTCCAAAAGCCTTACACTGAAATTTTCCAATGCACAGAATTTATTATACATTCTGGAGTTCTCTAAAGATATAAATTGCTTTCTGGATAATTTCATTTTTATACTATCTATAGGTACACTGATACTTAATTTGAAGACAATCTGTTTTGGAAAAGATCTTTTTGTTTTTCACTTTTAATTTTAATTGCCATTAATTGTCCAGAAGGGATTTTTAAAAAGTTGCCAGGACAAATGTGTATCATTATTCAGCAGGCAGAGATGCCAAAGAAGAGTTTAACCATATTTTATTTTCTGTGGAATCACCACATAATGGTTAGAGATATTTATGTTTCATGTCTGAATTTTATGAGGCATTAACAGAATAAGAGATGGTCAGGAGAAAGAACAAATTTTCCTAACAGAGACAGCTATAAAGTGGTCATACACAGCTATTGCCTGTTATATGTAATTTTTGGACTGTTCCAAATGTCTGTTCTCCAGGATATCTTATTCTACTACACTAAATATAATTTCAAATATTGATGTC